TTCCAGATACACCAGTTCTATCTCCCATCTCAGGGGCGGTTTTCGAAAGACGCATTATAGAAAAATATATATTGGAAAATGGGTGTGATCCAATAACCGGCAAAGAAATGAAAGCGGCAGAATTGATTGAAATAAAAACACCACCAATTGTTAAGCCAAAGCCGCCAAGTGCTACTAGTATCCCTGCTACATTGAAAACTATGCAAGATGAATGGGATGCATTAATGCTGCATGCATTCACACAACGTCAGCAATTACAAACTGCACGTCAAGAACTTTCCCATGCACTTTACCAACATGATGCTGCTTGCAGAGTTATAGCACGTTTGAATAAGGAAGTAGCAGCTGCACGTGAAGCTTTGGCTACACTTAAACCACAAGCTGGTATTGGTGCATCAACAGCTCCAACAACAATACCACAACCAGCAATTGCATCCGAAGCTGCTGGTGTTGCTACACATCCGGTTGAACAAGCTGGCATGAGTGCAGAAGTCATACAAAAATTACAAGACAAAGCCACGGTATTAACACAGGAACGTAAAAAACGTGGTCGTACCGTGCCCGAAGATTTAGTTACGCAAGATCAAATTAAATCATTTTTGACAATTGCTTCTCATCCAGGTTTGCACTCAGCATCTGTGCCTGGCATTTTAGCTTTGGATATTAATAGTTCTGATCATAGTAAAATTTTAACTGGAGGTAACGATAAAAATGCTACTGTTTTTAATAAGGATACGGAACAAGTTGTGGCCATACTTAAAGGACATACTAAAAAAATTAGTAAAGTCATTTATCATCCAGATGAAGATACTGTTATAACTGGTTCGCCAGATATGTCTATACGTATTTGGCATGTACCAACTTCGCAGACACAACTTTTGCTACGTTGTCATGATGGTCCGGTAACAGGACTATCATTGCATCCAACAGGAGACTATGTATTATCGACTTCTTCAGATAAACACTGGGCCTTTTCAGATATACGTACTGGACGTTTGTTGACTAAAGTAAAATATCTTATTATATCACTTAATAAGGAGTAACTTTTGCTAATTGAATGTTGTTTTTTTTAAGGTTATTGATACTGCTGAAGTGGGCTTAACAACAGCACAATTTCACCCTGATGGACTAATTTTTGGTACGGGAACCGATGATTCACAAGTAAAAATTTGGGATTTAAAGGAACAAAGTAATGTTGCCAACTTTCCTGGACATACTGGCCCAATATCGGCTATATCATTCTCTGAGAACGGTTATTATTTGGCAACAGCTGCTGATGATGCTTGTGTGAAACTCTGGGATTTACGTAAATTAAAAAATTTCAAAACTATACAACTGGATGATGGTTACGAGGTTAAGGATTTATGTTTCGATCAGAGTGGTACATATCTTGCTATTGCCGGTACAGATGTTAGGTGAGTAATACGTTTTTAAGTTTTAATCAGCAAAAATATATTTTTAAGCTTAATTTTACATATATTTTATCTCAATTAAAAGTGAAATCCAAAATAAACTTTTAAAATGTCTTCAAAAAACATTGGAAACGCTGTAGATATTAGTTAGGATTATTCTGCGCGGCATGCTTTTTGAAATGGTCCAGCCAATTTTCCATACGATTTTCTTTAGCTAAGGCGCGTCTTGAATTTTCTTTCTCCATTCTGATGCGACGACGTTCTTCCGCTTCAACCTTCTGCACCAGCTCAGGTGGATACTTATCAAGTTTATTAAGCAACAACTGTAAAATTTATTGCATGTTAAAAGGAAATATATTGTCAAACAAAATGTTAGGGGTATTCACGATCTCACGCAACGAGCTCGGTAACTGAGTAACATACAAACAGTGCAAAGCATCGCTATTATTTATATACGAATATTCGAAATAGATTTAACATATATGTATTTTTTTATTAGCACTTTGCAATATTACCGTGTTACTCTAACGCCGACCACGTTACTCGATATTGTGCATACCCTCCTCATGGTAACTTACCAATAAATGTTCTTGTATTTTCTGCACTTGTTCTAAAGAGGCAATTTGAGGATACTCAGTTTCACAAGAATCACTTGGTAACGTTTCCGTTTCTACTTCTGGCTTATCCATAACTTCTTTAGTTTTATTATCTTTTCTTATAGTATCTTCTATGCTTTTAAGTAGTACAGGTACAACAGCGTTTAATCTCAAGGACATTTTACTAACAAATAAAAGGATGAGATATAATCTGATATAAATGTTATACATAACTTACTCCTCTTTGTATGCCTTATCGAAGTTGTCAACTGCAATATTTGTCAATTGCTTCAAAGTATCAGCACGTGCTTGTATCAATGCTGCATCCTTAGCAAATATAGGACTTTCAACAGCCTCATCATATTGTTTTTTCTTCAAGCAAATATTTATTTTTATTAAAAACTAAATGTTACTAACAAACAGTAAGTTTACTAAATTACTTACAAATTTATAATGTATCATCTTGACTCTAAGATTCAGTAGACCCAAATTCATGACACGACTATTAAAATTAAATATTTTTTGACGCATTTTCTCATAGCCCTTAAGTACAATATATATATATATATTAATTGAAATTGATTAAGTAAAGTACATAGCTAGATTTACATTGATCCATATGCTAGGAGTTAAGTAACGTTTTTCAGCCAAATACGGTCGTACGATCTGATTCATATACAGTTCCAATTCCTTGGCTTCTTTTTTACCTGCAATATGCTTTTCAGAAATCTCCATATTTGTTATTTCTGCTGGTTTGATTAACTTCGGTTTTTCAGCATCGATATTAACATCTCGAGAAGCTAATGCCTCTTCGTCTTCGATGTTATCGAAGTAACTCTAAAAATTTACAATTGTATTTAATATTACTTAATAATAATTATGAGTTCTTATAATTTACAATCTTTTTTAAACCAGATAAAAACGTTCTATAATCATCCTGTGTTTCTACTAGGAGTCGCTGATATTGATTGGTAACATCTTTTAATTCCCTTTCTAATTTAGGACGTGTCTCCCGTATTTTCCTAAGTTTTAAATAAGTTTCTTGCATTTGAACAAAAGCATCTGCTTTTAGTTTTTCTAAAAACTCTGTTGCGAACTATAATGCATCACAATTATTATTATTTTTATTTTTATTTATTCAATTTCAATTTACAACATAACGAACCTTGTTAAAGTCTATCATTTTTTGATATATTTTTTCTTCATTTTCTGCATTGCGTTCCCTTTCCAAAAACCGTTGTTTTGTGGAATAAATGGTAAACTTGTTGCGAGTAATTTCACGTAATATTAAAATATCGCTATTGTAAAATTAATTAATTAAATTAGTCAATTATTTGAAAATAATAATAATAAAATTGTTATATATATAATTTACAAGAAGGTCGATAAAAACCTCCCTATTGAAAACAATAGTTTATATTAAGAATTTAGTTTCTTTTACCAAAATAATATTTTAATGTTGTGAAATAATTGTATTTAGTATAATAATATATTATATGCAATAATAAAAGCTTAGTTGTTAAGAAGAATATACAGTCAAATTTCCAGAACTCGAACTCAATAGAGTGCAACAGGCTCACCTAGCAAATTAAAAACAATTACAAAAAATTTCTTTAACTCAAAGTCTCCACAGGTCTAGTCTTTTCATTGCAAAATGGTACTTCAAGTAGAAGTGTGACTGTATTAATACTACAATTTCTATTCACACCAAAAAGAAAACCTTTCTTAAGACAGTTTAACAAAACCCTAAATCTGTGAGTGTTTTTAAAACTCCAAAAATATCCTCTCTTCCGTACGGATAACACCCATTAAGTATTTCTTCGAAATATCGTTAAGAATATATGTATGGCACGAAGCACCTTAAATGTCCCAAAACTTTACTTTTGAATCAGTATGAACGTTCTTTTGAATACGTTCTTGAACATGTTTAATAGTGAGAGAATTTCAAGGCTCTGCACTCGGGGCTAAATAATATTGGTGGATGTCACTACTCCATCATTTATAAGTGGTAGTGATATATTAAACAGTGCAACTTAATCCACTTAAGCAAATGTGAGACACATCGGATTATATTAAACATCGAACGTATAAGTGAGTGAATGACTTTAACATTCAAAAGAAATTTTTCATCGCAAGTAATAGAACCATCTTTGAGCATTTCATCGGGAGTTCATTGAGAAAATATATATAACACGAACCGACCCAAAAAGCCTTAAACAATTCTTTTAAAGCAATATGAAATATTTCTAAGCGTAGTGGTCAGCATAAACAATGACGTGTCCTTAACGATAGAAATCACATGAAGTCAGTCAATAAGTTATATTTTGCCTATTCACGATTCATAGAATCGAAATTCATAACAAAGAACGATAAGCTACGGATGTACAAAACAATTATCAAACATATATACATTTATAAATTATCTTCTCACATATGGATTGGAGTATTGCGTTTTGAAGAAAGATGAGAATAATGTACTAATGTAATATAAATGAAAAACTCTTAGGTTATTATATAGACAGAAAGAAGTATGATATAAAAAATGTGGGATTACTTGATTCGTCAAAACGTAAAATGGTGCTATGAAAATTTTCGATACAAAGCTACAAGGATCTGGAGAAAGAGGTCAACCGCAGAGCAGATGACCAGAAGTAATTGAAAAAAGTCTCAAAAAGAAGATAACCTACCATAGAACGAATGCGGGATATAAACACGAAAACTATACATAGCCTTCTATGTAAACTATTGTTACAAAAATTATAGCCAAAAATACATTTTCATGCTTCCTCTGTGCTTAAAACTCCAATCTGTATACTTTTTCATCTGTGCTCAAAACTCCAGCTTCTAGAGCTTTGTCACAGTCACGGCGTCATAACCATATTATGGTTACAAAACCATGCTCTCAATATATTGTTCAAAATCTGTTTACTTTTTCCTATAGAGTGCCAACAATCGTATTGTTTTTATTGTAACCCGTGGGCACCTAAAAGCAAATAAAACATGAGGATGTGGATAGGTGATGGTTGAAGGGAGGGGGAGGGGAATAAGGGTGAATCGTATTTATTAAATGTGAATCCTTTTTAAATCGACTGGAACCCTAAATATAAAAATTCTTGAAAATCTTCCTGAATTTTTCAAGCTTTATATATACCCATATATCTTATAAATGATTAACTATTTAGAAGAAATAAATTATTGTACTTAACCTTTTCATACGAAATTTCTTGATACGCTTGGGCTGTCTAAGATCCTTTAAGTAATCCGGATCAATTGTAGTGACCACACATGGTGCACGCGGATTATTTAAATGTCCTCGCTTAATAAAAAATTGATTTAATTAATTTCTGTACTTGAGACATTTTTAAAGTTACTATACCGCATCGAAATCATTTACAGACAAATTAATCGTTTGCCGCTTTTCAGCATCTTTCCGATCTTCTTCAGTATAAAAATCTGTATTTTCAATTTTATTAGAATTATATTCATATAAAATGTGATTATTACTAACCCTCTGGTTTCCGATAAATCTTCTTCTTACTCTTTTTCATTTTCAAAGACACCATTTTTTTGACAATTGGAAATAATTTCCTTCAAAAATATATTCTATTATTTACGACACCTCAACGTTGTTAGGCTGAGTAGTTTCTTTGGAAACAAGAATGTAAAAAATACAAAATCTGTCGTTATAAAAATGTTAAATAAAAATATGAGTAGAATTACATTTCATTTTGATTATATATTTATGAAATTTTATTTTGATAGGACAAACTTCAGAATAACTACTTAGTTAAAGTTAAAAATCCATATAAATATTTATATTTATTAGGGCTATGAACTCATTGTAAATCGAATTGGTTTGAAACTGAAATTTCTTTATGTCTAATGTGATTGAACTGAACTACCATCGTCTTGCAAAGTTTGTTTGGGGCTTTTGAACCAAATCACTTTCTCAAGATAATAAACATATAAACTGAACCATTTATTTATTAAATATTTGTGGTGGTTTTAAACCAGAACCTCCATATTATTGGTGTAACTGAATGGATTGACAAACTGAACCATTGGACTTTTGTACATTTTTTCTGGAACCACTAGTGTGAACGCTGGACCAACATAATTTAAACTGAATCAATAGTTTAGAGTATCAGACCGAACCACATCAAAGACGCCCACACAAAAAATATTTCACAACCAAAAAATGTGAAAATGGTAGCAAAAATATGAAATTACCAATTGCGCTATGTCTCTTTGTATGTGGTGGCATCTTGACATCTCAACAAGGTAACACCATAAATCCATAGGAATCAAATTTGTATGTGCTTTTAGACTTGAAAACTGATAAGGAATGCAGTTACAGTTCTCGCCTACCCTTAATGTAGTAGGCGATGTAGTAGCCAATGTAGTAGCGATTATTCATGGTAATTAATTGTTTAGAATTTGGCTATATCCAGATTTCAATTAAACCAGAACAGTTCTTATTGCATAAGGAAAACGTCGTTTATACTCAAAAATTTTAAGTAGAGACCTATTTAGAATTTTGTTGTGCATTCGTTAGATATAGATTTTTAAAAGTGAAATCAATTTAGATTGTTACTAACTATATAGTATATTCACTCAATTCCGATGAATTCAAAAGAAATCTGCTGTACATTCAATTACCAATGTGTGCCCTAACTGCAACTCTATTTCTCCATGATATCGGTCATCTGTCTTCATGTCTTAAGACATTTCAGCTCGAACGATTATTGGATTCGCCTTATTAAAATTTCTAGGTTTTTCCACTGTGATCCAGATTGAATTTAATTAAAATCTCATTAATCCTCAATCCCCTCCTCTTCCATACTACTATCACCTACCCACATCACACGGCATATGTCAAACGATCACATACCTGCTTGTGTGATCCTTTTTGGGTATGTTGAACAATACTTGGTCGTCTTCAACGAGTGGCTCCGGGACAAAGACCCGACTGTTCTTGAACCGTAGCGACACTTGTTGATTTGAATTGTATCTTCCCCTCTTCCGTTTCTCCCCTACCATTACCCCAAATGCCTCATTTACATCCCAACCCATGTATTCGTTTTGTAATCCTTACGTGTTATCTGCTATTCAGATCCCGGCAGGCTAAAACAACAACAACCCACATCCTAACCCATGCATATGTATTTATAATACCTTTCATGTTATCTATTTAATAGATAAAAATTTTTATTCTTGTGATTCAAAATTTGACAGTAGTTTACTTCTAAACTGATATGAAGACAGATATAGCGACCCCATTTCTTATCAATGGAATAATTCTACAACCGCAATTTATACTTTGCTATTTATGTCCTATACTATATTTAAGTGTATATAAACTAACTATTCTATTCTATTCTATAACTATTTATTTATTTTCTATTTATTTGTACTTAAAATAATATATTTTTCTTACAGAGTCTATATGTGCAAACAATGGCAGGATTTGAAAATCTTCAATGAGCACACCGCGTTGGCCACTGGTGTACGATTTGGTAAACATGCGCAATATCTAGCATCGACAAGCATGGATCGAACACTAAAATTATATGCCATCGAATGAAACCTATAAATCAATCATTAAACAGAAAATAAAAACACTCCATCAAATCAACTCTTCAGTGAATTAGAATTGCTTAATCCGTTTACATTTATTATTGCATAAATTTATTATTACAACATATCTTCAATGTAAATGATCCACGTATATTAAAATATTCCACGAGTGAATTCTTATTGATAAATAGAAATTACCATTATTATGTTTTTTAAAGTTAATTATTGGTTTATTCCATTATTTAAAAATTAATTAAATATCAAAACAATCCTAATTAATTATAAACAATTTTAAATGTGTGTTTTATCATATTGAAAATGCAAGAGCTCTACACAATTCATCCCAATAACACAAATTGTATCCAAATTGACGTCATTGACTTCTTTATTCAAATTTAATTCAATGTAATAAAATAAAGATGTTTAAATTATAATTAAATATATAGTTTTATTAAATTTGCTGGTAAAAAAAATATAAATTTTATTTAATATTAAGACGCTGAAGCCACTTGCTTTAATGGTCCTTCTAAGTACGTAGCCAATGCCATTGCTTTTTGTTTCAATAAACCTAAGCCAACTGTCTCTTTGGCATATAAACAAAGCAAAATGCTAGCAACCTACAATAGAAATTAGTTTATATGTAAATATCTGTTTATATACAAAATATATATATTAGTAATTAACCTGTGTTATGACAACGTGCCCACAATCGCAATCCAACAAAACATATGTCAGACGATCTTCACGGAATGCATTGCGTCCATGTTTTTCATAGGCAGCCCAAATGTTGCTGGCAATCGCCGCTGTGACACGTGCATCTCGATCACCATAACCAGAATATGCCAATAGAGCACCTTCTTGGCTCAGCAATCTAAATAATAAATCAAACGAAATTTAGTAATAAATAATGTAAATCCAATTGTTTTGATATTTACAAAGTATTTTCCACGCCTCCTGTGTTCGCTTGGCTAAGCACTCGTGTTAGAGCTTTTGGCTTCAACATATCTTTGGAAGAATATATTTAAATAATATATTAATAAACCTTTGATAATATATATATTATTTCTAATAATATTAATTTTACATTACTACTTTTATTTGAAAAAAAAATTGCATTTATGTTGATTGTCATACCTTTCTAAAATGTTTAATAAGAGCTGAAGTAATTAAATTTAATATAAATAATTTAATTAATAATATATCAACACCTCCGCTGCACAATAGAACGACAAAAATTACTGATAAATATTTCTCCACCAATGCAAATCAACTCACAAAGTGTATAAAAATGTCTACACTGTGAAAACCATATGATTTTTGTTTATATACAAATCCAATACAAATTGCAGTACAGTGTTGCAAAACGTTTTTCCAAAAATTGCGGTTAATATATCTAATGCAAAGTCATTTAGTTGCTATGACCGTGTGCGAGTTCGAGTATATTAAAATTTCCTAGGGATTTTTTGCACTGCACTTATTTATATATTTATTTATTTATTCCACATATTAATAATTTTAGTTTTCAAATTTATTTAGTTTTTAAACCTCTTATAAAATGTTCACAATGGAAACACCTTAATTTGCAATTTTTATCTAATTTACACTACTCGAAATACCAATTTACCCTACTGGTAAATACCAACATTCGCTGCCATACCGGTATAATTTACTATTTCTCTCATTTTACCATCAATTTACTCGAACTCACACACGGCGTATAGATATTTTTTTTCTCCAGCAAAGGGAAAATAGTCCCTATACTCCACTGGGAGATGAGGATAAGATAGAGAGAGAGAGATGAAAAATATTAAAAACTACAGTGTGAAAATTAAACCCATGTAAATGTAATGAATGTAAAATGAACAAATTTCAGCAATTAGACTATAAAAGTAAAAAAAAAAGCTCCATTCCAGTAATCAAGAAAATAAAACACACAAGACTTATATCAATAGGCTTTAAAAAAATATATAATATATTAACTACTACTTTGGAATGTGAACAAGGTTACTATTAGAACTTTTTTTCGGCTTGAAAATTTAACATTATTTATAGAGTTTTTATACAAATCTTATAAGCAATCAAAGTGTTAATGGAATCTTACTTCTAACTCTGTATAAGCCTAAGATGAAAGTCAACATGTCTAATAGGTTTTCATTTTTAAATATAAATATAATAAGTATAAGTGAATGAATCTGAATAAAAATTTACTTCTGTTACTTTTTTGTCTAAAAGTAGTGGGGCAATGGAACGATGAACTTTTCAGTGTTTCTATTATAAGCTATCTGAACTGTTACGAAACGTCTCGTTCTGAGTCTCTTGAGTATTCTCCCATTGGCAAAAAAACTATGTTCAATTTTATCCATTCAATAATATATGTATTTCTTCAGTTTATATCAATTCTTATTCCGAACAGAGCTGCATAGTGGCATAATAATAGTTCCACGATTTTTCTATTATGAATTCCTATGATAAGAGCGCATATCATCTTTACAGTTCCTAAACAAATTAAACTTAATTTAACCCATTGTAGGCATCGTCCCTTCTTATCAGTTTTAATTAAAAAGATTTTTTATATTCTTAAATTGATTAATTGGTCAATTGTTTAAATATTACATAACATATTACATTATTTTTAAAAAATGTATTTTCGGTACGACAAAGATAACTACAGATTATAGTTAAAATATTAATGTATATAGTCATCTTCAGGATACTGACTATAAACTGTAGTCAAAAATATTGATGAAATGAATAAATTTTTTTAAAACTAATTTGAGATATATATTATTTAAACAATTTATTGCTTAATAATGTATAAATAAATAACAATAATTTATTAAAATTAGTTTGGTTAATAGGTTTCGAAATTAAATATAAATTCGATTAAATATAATAGTCACTTCCGTCTTAAACTAACAAATTAAAGCTTAAACTTAAAAACAGTTTTTAATAAATAAAAGAACTAAAAATTTTTTTAATTTCAAATCATTTGTTTTTAAATAATATAAAAATATATGTAAAATATTTGTGCTTTGAAAAATATAATTTTATTAAGTTATTCACTATTAATTTAGTCCTTAAAAAAATTTAGTCCAATTTTAAAAATTTTATTATTTAAATAATTAAGCTGTTAATACTTAATAACTTATAAATAAATAACAATAATTTATTAAAAATAATTTTAAATAAATAAAAGAGCTAAAAGTTTATTTAATATCAAAAAATATATGTTTTTAAATAAACTAAAAATGTATACTAAATATTTGTTCTTTAAAAAATATTATTTTATTAAATTATTTTCTAAAAGTTTAGTCCTTAAAACAATAATTTATTAAAAATATTTTTACAAATAAATAAAAAAACTGAAAATGTATTTCATTTTGATTTTATGTACGTATGTATATTTAAATAAAAATACATACATATTTACAAAATATTTGTTCTTTAAAATACATTATTTTATTTAATTGTTTACATTACTAATTAAGTCATCAACCTAATATTTTTTTTATATTAATATTATTTTTATTTGCATATTTTCAATCTATTTTTACAGCTTAAATTTAGTAGATACATAAATACATTGTATGTATTTTGTTAATGACGTCATTTCTATTAAGCATCAAAGCAATTGCGTTTTGAAAATAGGTCAAAAGCAAGAATTGAACATCAAAATTTATAAACAAAAAAGAGAGAAGCATGAAAATTAGCCTACCCGCAGGGGAAATGTAATTGCAAGGCTAGCAACAACAACAACAAACCATACAACGCAATCATTAAACCCACCACCAACACACCACCACGCATTCAATGCCAACACCACTAACTACACCATTGTTAGCACCAGCAGAAATGCAATAGAGCAGGCAGACAGCGTTTGGAGTTTACGTTTTACTTTTATTTTTTATTTTTTTTGTTAATTCAAATTTTAACAATTTCCGCTTTCGTTTTCATTTTATTTACTTCAAGAATTTATTCATTATCAGCTGAAAAATGTTGCATGAATCATGAGTTATGCATAACAACAATTACTTCTTCTTCTTCTTCTTTTATGAAACTGATTCACTAACAACACATAAAACTGCGCAGTTGTCCATGAAGTTTATGTCGTCATCAGTAAAATAACAGGTCAAGCGGAACGCAGTAGCAACAGTGGCAGCAGCAACAACAACGACCCTAACAACAACAATGAATAATGCATCGTTTAAGTGCTGCACACGTCCATAAAAACGGGAGGAGATTACAAAATTCGTAGTTGAATAAACAGTAAAATTTATGCGTTATGATTTCTTTGTGTCCACCACATTCGACTGAGGTTTTTGTGTGAGCTGCACTTGAGACTTTTAAATAGGAATGGAGTGGTGTCCGATAAAACTGGGTTTGTTTATATTAATTACTATTTCTTAACTGTGTTGATAAGGAAAGTGAAAATTTGTTTTTTTTTTAAATTAAAACTATTTAAATACATTATTATTTGTATTTCTCTTATTTTATGCTGGTACTCAATATAAAATTTAATAGTTATAATTCAGTATTAATGATAGATCTAAAATCGTCCAATATAAATTCAACTTCTGGTTCGATTCTTTCCTAGTTTATCTAGTTCGTGAACTAACTATAACATTTAGTTAGTTCATTTGAAAGAACTAGTTTATTAGTTTTGTAGGTAATAGATAAATAGTTATTTTATCATAAAATTCGGTTTTAATCAGATTAGAATGATCATAGCCATATACCATATGTTATAGTCTTGTCAACTATCATGATAATATAAGGAATCTGTACTTCCCTCATCATATCGTATTAAGCCCAATGTTAAACTTGATCAACTGACAATTTCTATTTAATTACGACGAAAGATTTCAATAATGATATCAGTCAAACAGCAAAATTCATTTCAATAAATCGGTTATTAAAAAAGGAAAATATTCGTAGGGGTTTTATCATGTCAAAATTTAATTAAATAATTTAAAAAACAATAATGAGTCCAAGAGTGCTCAAAATACTGAAATTTTAGTAACCTGTTTAATCCAAGAACGTCAACAGACGACTCATGTCTGAAATGGTCAACCTTAAGACTAAAGGCATAAGCTGAATAGTTCATCTATGTTGCCAAAAAAACGGATATCTTTTTAAGAATGCCAATGGACGACTCATGTTTGAAATGGTGAACCTTAAGACTAAAGGCACAAACTGTATATTTCATCTATGTTGCCCAAAAAACGGATTTTTCACGAACCGAACGTTAAGCTATATGGTTAAGCTAACTTACCACAGAAAGAGAAAAGCCTATAAGTAATATAAAAAAGAAAATCAGTTTTGGTCTTATTGGATCGGCAATATCCTTTCACATAAACAGTTTTGTTACAATTAATTTTCTACATTTTTCTGTATTTTTAAATTATGACAAAGTTATGTGTATATTTAAGCAAACAGAGTCAAGAGTTACTATTATCTACCGTGAACGCTTAACACCACGAGGCTCTTAACGTATATATTCGAATAATGTGCCGATAAATGCCACATTGGAATAAAAAAAATTCAGCCGATTCCAGTTAAAGTTATACGTTAGCATATAATTTCCTTCTTGGTGGTGTGTGAGGCTTAAGTCGATACGTACTGTAAGAACCACACCTGGGTATTTGAAAGGAACTAAATTAAAAAAAGCATCGAAATTTGTTCCTATCAAATACACAGGTATTAGCTGGTTTGTGCATCTCGCCTAAGTTCTTCTGGTACGTACCGACTAACTGAGTCTTTATCTAACACCGCTGCTGTTCTTTGGGTCACAGCACCCGGTTGAAAAATCCAACTTCACAATAGAATGATGTAAATATTTTGATTTTAACCATAGCCACCACGAAGTCTCATTAAAGGAGTAACCTTTATTAGTTAAGACAACCGAAATTACTGGCCGTAATCCCATGGGTAACAGGTTCACACTACTGGTCGCCTGCTGTAAGTGTGAACTACCGGTCGCCTGCTCCATTCATAGTCCTCTCCACAACTGCGACAGATATGGTTAAAAGGAGGATTTAGTCTCCTAGCATGATTACCGAGCAAAAACATAAGAAACACAAAATTTTTTTTGAGTTAAAGAAGTTTTAAACCAATTTATTAAAAGATATACATGTGATAAGTATTGAAATTTTTTAACATGGCAAATAAAATATATTGAATGAACAATTGTTTTGTATTTTAAACAAGATTTTTATAATAAATATCGCTGCAATAAATTAAACAAAATATATATAAATATAGTTCCATCGAATACTAATGGATTTTGAATATCTTAGATTTTAACTTTAAGCGAATATTATGCGTATTTTATTAAAGTAATCGAGCAGCACATGGACGTGTAAAGATATATACGCACATACTTTTATATAAATATATTATGGTGCGAATTTATGCAATTGTTTTTTTATAATAAATTGAGCTATAAAAATAAATTCTTTTCTTTACCACCGATAATCTCCATTCGAAGTATTGAATATCAACAATGAATCCTTTTAAATTATGAATTATGTTTCACTTATGAATATACAACATTATATGAATCTCGTTATCATTATAAGACTAAGCTGGTCTTCATTGAGTTCGGGAACGCTGCCTTTTTGGTAAATTTTCGAAAGAACTATCTAAACGCGTTTCGTTGATTTCAGAGCGTGGTTTCTTGCGTATACGCAGTGGTACTCTATTAACGAAACGATCTGGTATGCCTGCATCTAGTAAAATTTCGCGATTATATACGTCAAGGTCTTCGTTATAATATGTTATAGCATCCCAGCACATTTCGGAGAGTTTTGGTATAGTCATCCACATTTTATAAAGATCATTGCGACGTCGCATATCCTTCTCACCACACTCTATTCCACCAAATATATACATGCAACCATTACCAGAATTTGCAGCTGAGTGGAAATATATTGGTCTTGGTAAACGTGCAGTACGTATTAGATACCATTGCTTTGTGGTTATATTTATTTTCCAGATATCAGCAAAATATGTTCTGGAGTCACCCTAAAAAATTTCAGAAAATTTTATTAAGTATATTATTGTTAAAATTGTTAATAATAATTGTTAATTGTTATAATATTGTTAATAATAATAATAAGTATAATAATAAGCATAGAGAAAAATAGTTTATAATGTAATAGCTTCCACATTCCCAACCACTTTCTAACCCATGTGTTTAAAATTATGGAAAATCAGAAGAAACATTTTTTAAAAAAATCTTCCAATTTATATGTTGCATGCTTTCAATTAATAAAAACAGAATCTCACCCTCACTAATATATTAATCCTTCATTATTTTATCATATATAGTAATAATATACCCGTACCTGTAATCCACCGGATATAAAAGCCTCTACATCTCCATTACTTAACGTATGCTGAACGCACGCAAAACATTTTCTTGGTTTAGGATATCCTGATCTTGGATCTGTGTTATTTACAAGCGTTGGATCTGGTAACGTATCATAATATTCCCAACGATTCGTTTTTAGATTAAATGCAGGTATTCTTTCCAAATCATACACCAATTGTGATGTGCCACCACCTAAAACGTATATATGTTTTCCATCATAAACTACTTCATGTCGATAGCGTCCCTCAGGATCGTCACGCATTTCTGGGCGACTGATATACACATTTTCCCAAACTCGTTTTATTAAATGGAGTCGATAAATATCACAGGAATAATCAAAACCAGTCGTTCCTCCAATTGTATATAAATAATCGTTATGTATAACAATTGCTGGTCCATATTGAGCTAAAGGTAAATCGCCTGTCACTTGTAATTTGGTAACAATAGATTTTTGTCCCGTAGAATAAAAATAACAATCATTAGAACAATATTCGCCAAATGGAAATCCCGTACCACCATGACTCTGAAATATAGAAAAAAGTAGAGTGTTATTATATATAAAGAATTTAAAAACTTTTACTTATATATATAAAGTAAACACATATGTATTTGTTGAAAGATTTTACCTCAGATATTAATATATATAACATTGAATATTATTAGGTTTTACTGAAGGGTTTGAGACATTGATTTCAACTCTTTTAAGCAGACAGATAAACTATATGCGTGATAAAAATTTCGTAAATTTCCTCGTTGCATATATGTTTATCTAATTAGACCCAACATCAGTGGTTTATAAACAAGGGTTAACTGCCCTTCAGTGTCTTCTTCGAGGTCACATTTCCACTCCAACAAATGATTGAACAGACGTTCGCTTGAAACCTCTATCGGAAAAAAAATATCTTTCTCGTGCAAGATATAATATTACCCTATTAATATGCTGCTGTACTCCATATGACTCACCCATACTCACACCCTTATTCCTTTCTATATGTCATTTAATTGCGAAAAAATTTATTCTCGTCAAGTCCCACATAATCTATCGAATAAACTGTTTAAGGAATATAATGACGGTACTTTAAAAAACGTAAGATTGTGACCGCTGATCATGGATGTATGCACATGAGTCAGAAACTAAGCAACAGTCAACTATATGGATATTACATGTTACATCAACTCCTATAGAAGTTACTTAAAAGACTTCGAATCAAATGATCGCATGGTGTTTTTTTTTTGTTGATATAAAGTGATCATATGGCACTTCAGTACATAAAACTATTTCTTTCTTCTTACCTTACCACACACCCCAACTTCAACCATGTATTCGTCTTGTTATACTTGTATATTACCTACCTATAAGGTTATGATCAATTGTTACTACAGAAGTCACACAACGCGGGAATGTAAAAATGGATCCACGTTCATTTTGTTAATATTGTTCATACTGGAATAATAATCAGATACTACGATTTTAAATGTACATAATTGTTTAGGCCCAGTGTAAACATGCGGTAAAAAAACGAGCTTGTACGCTTAATGGTTGTAAGATACATTAGATAATATTTAGCGATGCAAACTAGTCAGCGTGCACGTGCGTTTTTTTTTTTTTTTTTATTTTTTCCGTAAGCGTACATTGGGCTTTAAATTACATTTTTTGAGTTCTTTCGAAATGATTATATTTTAATAAAAAAAAGAAAACTCTATGCTAAGTGGTTGTAAGATACAATGGATCGTATTAAGCAGTGCGGACTAGTAGTCTACGGGTATGCGCGTGCACGTGCGTTTTTTGCCGTAAATGTACATTGGACCTTTAAATACATTTTTGGAGTTCTTTCGAAATGATTATATTTTAATAGAAGGAAGAAAACCCCAAATAAAGTGATTATAAGATACATTGGAGAATATTGAGTAATACAGATTAGCCAGCGTCCAAGTGCGTTTTTTGCCGTAAGCAAGCATTAGACCTTAAAATATATTTTTTAAATTATTTTAAAATGATTGCATTTTAATAGAAGAAAGAAAACTTTAAACTAAGCAATTGAAAGATACATCGGATCATATTGAGCAGTGCAGACTAGCCAGTAAGCACGCAGCGTGCACGTGCGTTTTTTTTACCGTAAGTTTGAGACAGGCGTTAAAATACATTTTTTGAGTTCTTTCGAAATGATTATATTTAAATAGAAGGAAGAAAACTCTTAGCCAAGGTTGTAAGATACATCAGATCACATTGAACAGTGCAAACTAGCCAGCAAGCACGCAGCGTGCACGTGCGTTTTTTTTACCGCAAGTTTGAGGCGGGCGTTAAAATACATTTTTTGAGTTCTTTCGAAATGATTATATTTAAATAGAAGGAAGAAACTCTAAGTCGAGCAGTTGTAAGATACATTGGATTATATTGAACAGTGCACACTACTCTGCAGGCCGCAGCGTGCATGTGCGTTTTTTTTGCCGCAAAAATGTAACGTACGTTAAAATACATTTTTTGAGCTTATTTTGATATGATTCAAAATAAATGATACTGAAATGATATTTCAATAGAAGAAAGAATATTCACTGACTAAAATTTTTTTCTTCCGTTAAAAAACTGGCAAAGATTGGGTTTCATAATTTCTCAAAGTCAATGTTCAGAAAATCACCTTCACACATTTTTTTGTTTTTATTGCACAAATTTAGTGAATAAGAAATACAATTCGTAATAATGAACAATATTTCGATGTTGTTAGCATTTAATGGTTAAGCGCTATTAATTCAACAAACAACAGCGAAGAGCCCAACTAAACGCACGACCCACGGCTCACGGCCCAGAGACGCAATAGTTGGCGCTGTTGCTTGCTAATAATAAAAACAAAAACAAACACAAACAGAAACAGAAACACAAACATGAAACGAATAAAGAAAAACCTGGTCAATTTCAAGGCGAATTAAATCAAAACCTTCTCTAGCAGGGGGGACAAATATTTGTTAATCGAACTGCAGGGGAGAGGAATTAAAGAAAACAAGTTGCTGTTGTTTGGATTTCAAGTTTGTTTTATGGCACAATTTAACGGATTTCGCAGGAAGAAAGCGTAAAACGGATCAAAAGGCAACTTTTTTTCTATTGGCAAATTCCTCTTCACCAACAACCTGGCAACACAACAACACAAACAAGGCGAGTTGAGTTTGCAGCTGCTTTTTCTTGTGCCTATTTCTACGTGCATTGGTTTTGTTGCTGCCGTTGTTGTTGTAGTTGGTTGTAGTCAGTGTTGACCTTTTCTGTTTAGAAAACGTAAACAAAACGTGTAAAAAAAACATACTGAACATGTAATACGCAAAAGCAGCAAATCAAACATGAATAACAACGACGCGAACTGCTGCTATGGGGAAAAATAGCACGGAAGATGCATAAAAACTGTATGGTAGGTAACATGGCAAGTGAGGAGGAGAGAAGAACTTATTTATGCTTTGTTGGATTTCTACAAATAACGCTTTTTTGTTTTTCTTTTTTTTTTGTTTGTATGAAAACTATTAATTACCTTTTTTTTTCTTTTTTTACAATTTTTATTGAAACGTAAACAATGTAACTCGTTGAGAGGCAATGATTTTTGTTTATTGAGAATTTGGGGTTCTACATATGGTAAAGCAATGGAACAATGGTTGTTTCCTTCTAAATAAACTTTTATTTATAAAATTTTTTTATATTAATTTTTAAATGTTCATAATTAAAGTGATCATAGCGTAGTAATAAACTCAAAGCAAAACAATGTATTTCCAATAGGAAATTAGAAACTATAGCTTTCTTCACTATCTCCAAAAGGCAACTGTTGATAATTACCTAAAGATTTGATTGGAGTGGCGTCTTTGTGCTCAAAGTCCACTTGAGCTCAAAAAAAAGCACGTTGAGGTATCACGAATAAGCGTTATTTATATGCAGATCAGAGGGATTCCCGAAAGAATCGCAGTGTAACTTAATAACATATAATTTGTTTGTAGATTGGAAGACTACGAAGTACAATCCAAAACATGGGTCAGTTCAGCTGGTAGCAATATCAGCCCTGGCACTATACATTTCGGCACTGATTCTGATGCTTATCACGAGAGTGATTTGTTGCATTCGAAGATTATACCCAATAAGGGATAACGCCGAAACAAGCGACTCTCACATATAAGTAAAAATGAACCAACATTATAAATTTGTATAACTTGACCAAGTCTCCAACTTTGCAGGAGGACAGCTGTTAAAACGGTAAGAAAAGGTACCCAAAATATTTTAAATCTTCTTCTAACCAGTCATGAATATTGATACATTCGGTGGAATACAGTTTCCTCCTCATTTGTAGATCCACAACCACAACAAACGCCATTACAGGTTATACGCAGTCTCAAAGGATGTCTTCCTAGTATGCAGTGACCCGTCAGCAACGATACAGTAACGCTAAGCAGATTACGCCTTAGTTGAAACAGCTGACTATTAAGTTTTTTATCTGGTTTGAACCAGATCGATCTTGAGATCAAACAAAAGGGTTAAGCTACCTTATTTTGTTTAGCTTTGTTTTGCTTTGGTTTGGACCAGATCGATCTTGAGATCAAACAAAAGTGTTAATCTACATTATTTTTTTTAGCTTTGTTTTGTTTTGGTTTGGACTAGATCGATCGATTTTGTTTAGCTTTGTTTTTTTTTACTTAACATACTTAACTATTAAAAATATAATAAAAAGTTATTCTCTACGTGTTAAAACACCAATCGATATCTATAAATCTATGACACTTCTTCAAACAAGCAGAAATGAAGTGAAAGGTAAGATAAGATTAAACAAATCTGGTCATCTATTAGTTCAAAAGTTAACTTAGAAAACAAGGTTATAATTTATAATTTAATCATAAAACCCATATGATCCTATGTCTTTGAACTATGGAGCTCCTTCATAGTGCTTGAAATGCTCATTAAATATCGAGATAGCATAAAGAGTATAAATATAAAATAAACTACTTAGATAAATAAGTTCTGCTTCATGGGTGCGGTAGAAAGTGATACCAATCGACTCTGTCATGGGGAGAAGGAAACATCAGAACATATTCTATGCAACTGCCCAACGACGAAAAGATGTAGACTTAACTCTTGGAAGCGGTAACTTGGTCCTAAATCAAATAGGTAAAATTAAACCCACAGCAAACACGAGATTTATAAATAGTCTAGAATTGTTTTAGTTGAAAAAAACTCCATCCAAAACTAATTAGCTTGATTAGAACCTAAATTGAGAATATTATAGCTTTGTCATTGGTCATTAAAAGCATGCACAAAGGCTTGGAGTTCTACTTGACGATCTTTTCCTAACATGAAGTAGAGAAAAAAATTATTAACTTCTTATCTATAATGCAAATGTTTAGTCATGTCCTAGTCAAGGTACAATTGTTGGATCCTATTTTGAGAATTAAAAATTACAAAACAAATCATAGTTTTTTAATAAAAATAAGTAGAAGTTAAGTTATTGCCTTTGATGTGACAGTTTTGTCAGGTTGTCCTAACTAACTAGCAATTGGGTTTACAATAAGATGATCTGTCTATAAACACATTTTTTTAATATATCTTTTCTATTTTAAAAACCACTCTGTAGTCTGGAAACCCAGTTTAGATCCTTCTGCCTGTTCAGTTTGGAAGCAAAATAAGGCATATTTGAATATTTTTTTTCACTGGTGAGTAGTGAGTATCATCACTACTCTACAATCGGGTAAGTAAAAATATGTATTAAACAATAATTAATGTACATTTATATAATCAAATATCATGTCTATTTCTATCAGATAATTTTTCCTGTCATCTGTAGAAGTGCGACTCTTAGAAAAAGAGAACAAAAAAATAAAAGATAAAACAAATTAAAAAATAAATAAATAAAAGGGAATAAACAAAATAAGAATGTATAAAATAATTCAAATCAAAGTGAATAACAAAAATTAAAAAATAAAGTATATAAATTATTAATTTGCTTAAGTAACTTTAAACTTTTCTTTGTTCTATCGTCTATATTAGATAAGGGCAACTTCAACTGAAAGATATGATATATGTATGTACAATATATAGCCACGTGTGTAATTTAATTAATATATGTATTACAATATATAGTATTCTACTTACAATTAATACATTTTTGTATATGGTCAAAGCATTTGAAGCCAACTCGGTAGGCATGCCTGAAGTGGTGCGTGCGTCTAGTACGAGACTCCATTTATTGGCAGCAAAATTATAAGCCCAAAGTTCTTGAAACAGCAGACAACGACCACGTCTCCTGGCTGAGTTAGCCGTGCGTGGATTATAACCACCCAATGAGTATAGATTTGATTCTGAAGCGATAACACGGTGACCACTCCTCGCTAATGGATAACCACCCATTGCATTACGATTTCTGAAGTAACGCTTTGTGAGACGATATGGTTGAAAGGTGTACATTTTTTTTGGACGAGATGTATTATACTGTGCGAGGCCTTGAAGTGAACGCAATGGCAACATGGCCCCCCTCATTGAATCATCACTATCGGATGAGTTGGACGAAGTCCAGTCAACCTCTTCGGCGCTAGAATAAATCTCATCATCCATATTAACATCTTCCACTATTATTGGTTGGTCGGGGTCAATATCATCGATGACGCGCTGACGAACGAGTCCTTGAACTAGCTCGTTATCCTCATCCATTATTGTCTTCAATATTCTACGAAATGTTCTTAAACTTTGCTGTGTTCTATAAATATAGTTTTCGGAGATTTCACAAAAGCTTATAAAAAAATCTATGCATATATTCAGAAAAAATTTTGATAAACTAAATATTTTCATTACAAAATGAAAAACTTTTGATTTGACTTCTTCGGTTCTACAATGTTGAGTTCACAGTAAATTTAGTAAATTTCTTTAATTTTTCAATTTTACAATTTCATAATTTTTATTATTTAAAACTAAAACTTCAATTTTGCATTTAATTATTGTTTTGTTACTTCCATTAAATTTTTTTACAATTTTACGATTACGATTTTTTTTCTTATTGAACTAAAGCAATGCGACCTCCTAGAGCAGCTGACGAACTGTTTTATTTTCTGTCATTTTGTTAAATTTTGACGTTTTTGCTGTGGCAACTCATTTCGTTATTGAATTTATTTATTTTATTATTTCATTTTGTTTAAATTGTTCAAATGCATGCAATCAATTATTAAAGCTACACTTCGTCAAATTTTTCACAAAAATCCATTTTCAGATTTTCTATTAAACAATATGGAATTTTTTTTTTTTTTTTGCACAAGGCGCGCCTTTTTTATAGAATTTTTATTGTTCTAATTTTATTTATTTTAAAATAAACAAATTCCTCTCCAACATTTCGACTTGCCGAGCTTCGACGGATTTGTACAGTGAATTTATAGTTCAAGAACAGAAATACTTTTAATACGTCATACGCCTTTCACTTCGCAATGAGATTCTATTACGTTGCTGATTTACCATCTTTGCTGGGGAAATGAACACAAACACATTCCCCTCACGGGGTAAGAAATATTTTATTTATGTTTTGGGTTATCAGCGTTTTGTTTTGCTCTACATTTTTTATTCACAGCGATGCCATTTGATTCGATTATTTAAACATTTTTTGCAAGCACTTATGCACAGCGTACGTTCAGTGATTGTGAATTGGAACAGATCTTATATAAGGTGTATTCTTTTGATATGAATGCTCCTATAGCAAGCAAAAACAAAATTCGCAAGAATAAGCCAACTTTGCTGAAACTGCCTAATACGGCATTTACACTGGCCGAAAATGACTCATTTTGGTCAAAAATCGAAAATGAGAAGCGAATGGCTCATTCTTGCATACAAAATTGAGCCATTCCTTCACATTCTGTGTGAATGCGTCCCAAAGATGTTCGCATGCGTTCCAAATATGTTCCAAATGCAAAGGAATACATTGAACATACCCTAAATAAAAGCTCTTCATGGCATTTTGACAGTTTGAGAAAGCTGTTTTTGACATATTTGCAAAAAAAAGGTAAACAAATGCATGTACCTCTTTTTAGAACTTCTACTTCCCAAAAAGTAATTATTCGAAGTTAAAAATATGTTTTAAGTTTATATTGTAAGGTTTGAAGGCATATTTAACCTTTATGCAACATTATTTTGGCACAGGCCAAAAATCAAATCAACAGGTAAGTTGAAAAATCAGCTGTTTGAAATGAGAACAAACAAATTACAACGAATGAAAACGCCATATAAGCTATTCGCATTACAATAGTGCCAAATTTTAAAACTGATCTATTGTGAATTATTTTGGAAGAAAATGGAAAACTCCTGTTAAAACAGAAGAGTTTGTTCATTATTTATAACTGTTGCGAGTGTTAATGAGTAAATTAAATATTTCAAAAAAATCTTTTTTTAATAAAATTTGTGAATATAGACCTTTTCGGTGGCTCGTAAATATGGCAAAAAATGCATGCTGGCCTATATTGGCCACGCGAGACATTGGCATCACTGTTGCAATCTGTCAAGTGTAATATTTTGACAAATAGCAAAAATAGCATAATGCAAGCAAATTACATTGTGTATAAAAATAAATAATTAACATAATTAGAAAATTTAATTGAATACAAAATTAAAAAGAATGGTAAAAATGTTTAAAATTTCAAAATAAAACACTGAATTTTTTTCTTTTTCTGCAATTTTCAAATTTATGAAATTTTTGAATTTTGTTTGAATTTTTATTTATATATAATTTTTGACATGGTTGCAATATTCGTTGGTATTTCCAATTAAGGTTCACAATAGTTTGCTTATTGCGTTGGTAACCTTTTTTTTACTGGCCGATTTGCTGGGCCAGTATACCTATATTGGCCGAGGTAGAGAAAATAGTGTTGTTGTTTTGCGTACATTTCGGCCAGTATAAACTAGCAACTTGCTGTTTTTTGCCGTACTTGCGAGCCACCGAAAAGGTCTTATGTTGGCAGCTTAGGAATTGCGAAGAAGTCATTCGTTAATTATTTATGAAGGAATTTACAATTACTGTGGCCTGTTTATTAAAAACTGCAATACATAAAAAAATACAAAACACAATCCTTATAAAGAAAAAGTTAAGGGACAGATATTTTTGTATTTAAACATATTTATCAACCAAAAATTTGTTTAAAATATATAGGCGGTGGTGTCAAGTAATTTTTAAGCAACCAAAAATTGTTCTATTGAAGTATTCATGTCGAAAGAACACACCTATAATAAAATTTTATATAAAAAATCTTTTCTTATATGTTCTTCTTGTAGTTAATATAATAGATCAGTTTCTGTATGTAATTGAAATAAAATTATTACTTGTATATATCAACAAAATCATTTGCTGTGTTATGTGAGCTCGAAATCATAAACCAGTTAAGGCTCAATCAGTCGGTACGTGCCGGTACGTATAATGAACTCATTATAATGAGTTCATTTATTCAGCTGATAGAACTTTTATAAACATCACTTATTAATATATCACATAAAAAAATTAAATACATAATTATATTATAATTAAATCATGAATATTCATTTTGTATATTAATTACATATTTAATTAATAAAAACAAATATTTTATTAAATACTTTCTTTCTCAGTGCCCTTGTTTACAGCTCAACTGTTATTTGTTCACATTTTACATATAAAACACTTGACACATATTTCAAATTTTGGTCATTTCCCTTGTGGTTAATTTATTTCTAAGGGTTGCATTCGACATTTTTCGCCTTAAACCAGCTGATTTATGAGCTCATTTATATATAAAAGACTTTTGTATGGTAAATTATCCTTATTAGTGCGTATAATGAGCAAAACTGCCTAAATGAGACAGTGTGAATGTGCTCTACTTAAACAGAAACGAAATGAAAATTTGGCTCAAATCTAAAGTGCAATTAGACCGTACGTATGCAGCTGATTTTGTTTATATTTGAATAATATTGAAAACTAAAGACAATTTTTGTTAGTGACATTAGGGTTACCATTGAAATTGTGCACTAGTTACTGACAAAAGTCAGTTTAATTTTGCAGTGTTTGAGTAGTTTTGATTTCGTATTATGGTTAAACAGAGCAAAGATAATAAATTTATTTTCCGAGAAGATTGCAATCTGTTGGGTAAGTAAATTTGTTTCTTATATCAAAACTTTGATATAGAAGTCACTGGAGTACAGATCGCTGAATCTTGCAAGGAAGAAATATTTCCTAATGCCCTATTGAGCATTCACATTAAATGTTTAAGATTATTATGATATTTTACAGAAGATCTTTGCTTACAGAATTATGAGAGCGAAAGTAATGAATAATAAAATAATACAATATTCTTATAAGCTGATAATATTCTAATTTAACTGGTAATCAAAACTTGTAAGTCGATGATGAAGAACATCTTCTCTGTTATAGTAAAGTTTTTTGAAAATTAGGGAAAAACACCCAACTCTAATAACTTTAGTGAGCTATATATATATTTTGCATATATCTTATAATTGCTATTTTAATAAAATTTACTCCTTAACATATATATATACTATATTTGGAAAAAAATTCTGGTTCGCCTTTCTTGTGAATAGTGAAACTTCAGCTTGTGTGTGCTAAGCAAATATTGAAGAAAATCTTCTCTATAATAGTACATCTTTCGAAAACCAGATAGAACCACAGGTTTAAGTAAATACGTATATTTTTACAATTGCTGTTTTAATCAAATTTAGTCCTTAACATAATTGGACTATGTACATTTCTGTAAAGATTCTATAAATCTGTTCCATTATTCCCCAGGAATGTAAGTGTTGTTAGTAATTCCTTATCATCGACATCTTTCCAGGTTGTAAAGGGCAAATAATGAGTAAAGAATTTAAGAGAAAAAACCTAATTGATTAAATACTACACAAATCGATTCAATTTCCAATTCTACACTACATATGTTAATCTAGAAAATACTAATACATCCCGGCATATGTAGCACAGAGATGGCGAAGTTGTACCATTAATTTTTAAGAGCACAACATTTTTATTATTAACCATCCGGGATGAAAATTTACTAAGTGCCTAATAACAAATGTCTTAGATGTCATATTAGATCACATAATAGACCTACCAGGTCACGATAACCTTCATTATACTAATTAACAGATAGCTAAAGGTTAGCTGTTCTACTACATTGAAGTAAATATAAATAGAAATGGATATATTGGAAATGGAAATATAATTGTAAAAACATTGTGAAGCTATGATTAGTAGTAAATGCGATAAAAGCTTGGAGGATTCTTCTTTAGACAGTTAAAGAGCTTATAAAATTTTTTAAAATTCTAATTATAGCGCGGCTTGCACTTTGTGGTAGTTTAGCTTGCTATTGCTTCAAAAACAGAGTTCCACTAAGAAATAAGTATAGATAATGGGCAGAGCAAAACCTTAAACTTTGTTCAAAGAACAAATGCCTTCTTAAGCGTCTTTTCACTCAAAAATGGTACTGATATCCAATTAGGTAAACTCAACTGCAAAAGTAAAACCTACCGAGAATTCAAAGAACTAACGCCTAGGCGATTGACGTACCTTAAAGTTTAATAATTTAAAATTAAACTCAGTAGAATAAGCCTTCAGAATGCTTTGTTATCTGTAAAAGAAATATTTTAAAATTTTATATGAGAAGTAACTCAACAACTACAACTTACCTTTGGAACAATAGAATCATTTAATTTAACCACGTAACATGCATTACAAAAATTGTTTCGCAAAAGTGATTATAATCATTTTAATTTTGTATATAATATTAATGACAATTTATATTAATTCTTGAGAATGTATATATGATTAAAGTTCTAGACCAATCTTTATATTCCCTTAATTATGCAAGTGCAACGTAATTGGCCATCAGATCTGACTGACCTATGTGATTCCCTTATTAATTTCCAATTATCGTATTTATACAAAAT